GACGCTGCGCGCACAAAAACAAGATATAAATAAAAAAAGACTAAAAAAGTTAAACGAAAGGAGCGTTTAAATTAGAGGCAACTCCCCAGTGGTGGTGAGCAGCAAAGTCACTTTTTGGGTGGACTACATCATTCGATCCAAGTCCGCTTATACATTGTAGTTAGTTCCCGTAATACTTCCTCCTCCCACTACCCTTCTTAAGCCCGGCTCGGCTTGCCGATCCGAAGGTTTCAGTAGGAGACGTCTGATTTCAGGATCACGCCTCCTTACGGCTGGTTCACCGGCCGAACTCTCTCTCTCTCTCTTGTGGCTGACTTCAGGGTCCCCAAGCAACTCTCTCTCTCTCTCTTGTGGCTGACTTCAGGGTCCCTAAGCAACTCTCTCTCTCTTGTGGCTGACTTCAGGGTCCCCAAGCAACTCTCTCTCTCTTGTGGCTGACTTCAGGGTCCCCAAGCAACTCTCTCTCTGTCTTGTGGCTGACTTCAGGGTCCCCAAGCAACTCTCTCTCTCTCTCTCTTGTGGCTGACTTCAGGGTCCCCAACCAACATTCTCTCTCTATCTTGTGGCTGACTTCAGCTTCCCCAAGCGACATACTGTTATTTCAGGCTCTCTACGTGGCACCCAGCACCGGGGTCTACTCTACTAGCAGCCGTAATCCCGTGCTGTGCTTTTCGAGCAGCGGGACGACTCCCATCACCCGGCAGTCGGATTGGACAAAGGAAGCGAAAGCAGCAAGGGCGGCACACCGCCAGTCAGGACAATCCGTTAGTCAGAATTAATCAAATGTCAAGAATCTTACTGAAATAAACCTAGTTATAATCAATTACTAAGTAATTCCCCATGACTTCTACTCTGGGCTGGGTCGGAACTCTCTTAGAGCAACCACGCCTGACACAAACAAATTTCGGTGACGAACCCTGGCCACCCCTGAGCCATCCGAGAACGACAAACCGTCACAAATTGTCAATTGAGGAATAAGGACGAAGTATAATAAATATAAGCAAACCCATCTGAAAATCTACAAGATCTTTGTATCAGACGTGGCGTATACATAAGCTTAATGGAGGCTTAAAAAATTACTGAATACAATAAAACCAAAAAAATCAATTATTGGCATATATATTTCTTTCATTTCGATTGATTTCAGTACATTGACTTAAAGAGTATATTCTCGTTTATGTAAATTGGTGGCTAAACTCAAATCTACATGGCTCCATATGAAAGAAGACTCGGATTGTTTTTTAGCCAGAAAGTCAGCAGCGTCGGAACCCGAGATCACCCACGGCACAACTTAAAGCATATCTCAAAAAAATGTTCCTCTTGAGAAAAGGAAAAAGCTAATGTATGGCAAAGGATAATAAATATGATAAGCTTTAAGAGGAGCAGCAGACCTCTTTGTTCACCACCAAGGACGAGGCACCAACGAGCTGGAGCCCATCATGACCACAATCGACGTAGACTAAATGCTGTTTTCGTCTTGTCGGTCGTCTTTCGTCGGTCTTAAAAAATCAAGCGCCGCAGGATTTAAATGAGAGAAAGACAGTACAAAGAGCACACGACACCTATCCGCAGTGAATGAGGTTCAATGCACAGGTCGACTTATTGGAAGATATCGTAGAAAACAAAAACTGTGCCCTATTGAGAGAGTCAGGCTGGTCGACATCCCGTGGCTAAGATGATTTCGCATTGGGTGCCTAGGCATGTGAAAAAAGGATTACTGGTCAATTAGATTAATTAAACTGCTGAACATCACTGACACTCTTTGGTTGCCACTGTGGAAAAGATTAAAAATAACTGAATACAATAATTTAACATTCTCTTAGTTGTCTCTGCCATTAGGTATTCTTAGCTTTATTTACTTGTGATTTATTGCAGGTTGACGGATAGTAGCACAGAACACAGGAAATAAAAAATGAGTTTATTGCTGTGTAAAAAACATTAACTTCATCAAATCTTTTTTTTGCATAAGTAAAGATCAGACCAATTAAATCCAGAAATAAAATTATTTACCCTCTGAAAGTCTGCCTTGCGAAAACAATGTATTCGTTTGGCTAATTTTTCTGATTTTGCTTCTGTAACTCTACCCGTGTCAATCGGATATTCAGATTGCGTGAGTGGTGCTACTCTGGACAGAAACACCCCTTCAGGATTTGATACAAAACAGAAATCAAGTATGTTCGAAGCTAACTTCGGTTTCTCACCACCCCTAACATGTGCGGAACACAAGTAATAGTGTTGGGAGTTCTCGCACCAATCCTTAGGAATAAGATCGACCAGTGCAGAAAAAGGTTTTTACTCTATGGACATACTCAAGGCTACTCCCGAGCCAGGGCAAATTGAATTGACAGATTGCCATGGTCTTCCCTACTAGTAAGAGGTGTCATCCGCTCACTGTCGATAGCTTTCCTGTTATCAGCTTCAAGTGCAACAGATTAAAGAATCAAAAGCCGTTCGAAATGAAAACCAAATCAATGTATAGGAAAAGTAACGGAGGTATTTATTCTTTATAATAACCACAGTAAGTCACATAACGAAAAAGCACAAGCATACTGTAAGGCTCAACTGCTGAAAACAGCCAAACACCATATTTTTGAAGAGAGTTTAATATATTGTTTATAAAATAACTTTTGATACAAAGTTATAGTATAAACAATTATATGATATAATATATTGCAAAGAATAAGGTGTCGATCAAGGCAAATTTGAAGCAAGAATGCAGCGACATCTTTCGAAAAGTCTATCGCTCATTTTGATCGAACTATCATTTTAAATTCTATGTCTATATATAGTCACTATGTAGACTGCCGGCCATTATGATACTAAAAAGGTCATTAGCTAATAATGAATTGTATTTAAACATTTAAGGATTTCAAAGTTTTCTCTTAGACTAGCCTTCTCAAATTTATTTAATTTTGAACTGTCGCTTAGGATATTGTTTGCCGATTTTGGCGCTGACAAAAATCTAACTGTCAAGCGAGATTTATTATTAAAATTTGTGACGCTGCGCGCACAAAAACAAGATATAAATAAAAAAAGACTAAAAAAGTTAAACGAAAGGAGCGTTTAAATTAGAGGCAACTCCCCAGTGGTGGTGAGCAGCAAAGTCACTTTTTGGGTGGACTACATCATTCGATCCAAGTCCGCTTATACATTGTAGTTAGTTCCCGTAATACTTCCTCCTCCCACTACCCTTCTTAAGCCCGGCTCGGCTTGCCGATCCGAAGGTTTCAGTAGGAGACGTCTGATTTCAGGATCACGCCTCCTTACGGCTGGTTCACCGGCCGAACTCTCTCTCTCTCTTGTGGCTGACTTCAGGGTCCCCAAGCAACTCTCTCTCTCTCTTGTGGCTGACTTCAGGGTCCCTAAGCAACTCTCTCTCTCTCTTGTGGCTGACTTCAGGGTCCCAAGCAACTCTCTCTCTCTTGTGGCTGACTTCAGGGTCCCCAAGCAACTCTCTCTCTCTTGTGGCTGACTTCAGGGTCCCCAAGCAACTCTCTCTCTCTCTCTTGTGGCTGACTTCAGGGTCCCCAACCAACATTCTCTCTCTATCTTGTGGCTGACTTCAGCTTCCCCAAGCGACATACTGTTATTTCAGGCTCTCTACGTGGCACCCAGCACCGGGGTCTACTCTACTAGCAGCCGTAATCCCGTGCTGTGCTTTTCGAGCAGCGGGACGACTCCCATCACCCGGCAGTCGGATTGGACAAAGGAAGCGAAAGCAGCAAGGGCGGCACACCGCCAGTCAGGACAATCCGTTAGTCAGAATTAATCAAATGTCAAGAATCTTACTGAAATAAACCAAGTTATAATCAATTACTAAGTAATTCCCCATGACTTCTACTCTCGGCTGGGTCGGAACTCTCTTAGAGCAACCACGCCTGACACAAACAAATTTCGGTGACGAACCCTGGCCACCCCTGAGCCATCCGACAACGACAAACCGTCACAAATTGTCAATTGAGGAATAAGGACGAAGTATAATAAATATAAGCAAACCCATCTGAAAATCTACAAGATCTTTGTATCAGACGTGGCGTATACATAAGCTTAATGGAGGCTTAAAAAAATTACTGAATACAATAAAACCAAAAAAAATCAATTATTGGCATATATATTTCTTTCATTTCGATTGATTTCAGTACATTGACTTAAAGAGTATATTCTCGTTTATGTAAATTGGTGGCTAAACTCAAATCTACATGGCTCCATATGAAAGAAGACTCGGATTGTTTTTTAGCCAGAAAGTCAGCAGCGTCGGAACCCGAGATCACCAACGGCACAACTTAAAGCATATCTCAAAAAAATGTTCCCCTTGAGAAAAGGAAAAAGGCTAATGTATGGCAAAGGATAATAAATATGATAAGCTTTAAGAGGAGAAGCAGACCTCTTTGTTCACCACCAAGGACGAGGCACCAACGAGCTGGAGCCCATCATGACCACAATCGACGTAGACTAAATGCTGTTTTCGTCTTGTCGGTCGTCTTTCGTCGGTCTTAAAAAATCAAGCGCCGCAGGATTTAAATGAGAGAAAGACAGTACAAAGAGCACACGACACCTATCCGCAGTGAATGAGGTTCAATGCACAGGTCGACTTATTGGAAGATATCGTAGAAAACAAAAACTGTGCCCTATTGAGAGAGTCAGGCTGGTCGACATCCCGTGGCTAAGATGATTTCGCATTGGGTGCCTAGGCATGTGAAAAAGGATTACTGGTCAATTAGATTAATTAAACTGCTGAACATCACTGACACTCTTTGGTTGCCACTGTGGAAAAGATTAAAAATAACTGAATACAATAATTTAACATTCTCTTAGTTGTCTCTGCCATTAGGTATTCTTAGCTTTATTTACTTAGTTTTTCATTTATAAATAAATACAAAACAAAAAACAGCTTTTTCAAAAAGACTCGAAGTTTAAATGCCTTTTCAGAATTACAGAGTTAACACAGATATCGATAGAAAACTATCTATGTTAGTAAAAATGATTAATAGCTTATTTACCTTACAGCTGGCACTTCGAGAATATCCCATTCAACAGACATGTAAAATTCAGATAAGTCCACACCAACGTCAACCACGTTGCTGCCTTGTTGTTCATCCATGTGCCTCAAGTCGACCTTAGAAAAAGAAAAACGGTATGCAACATTTAAAATTAGATACGTACATAAAATGAATTTAAAAATGTAATACTAATAACTTAAATAAACTTTAAAAAAGTAAGTTGTTCACTAATAGAATCAATCTAAAAATTTCAAGTCTCCACATATACGAGAATTTAATTAACATGCAATTAATACCTTAAAAGAAATTTTATCCCAATTAACTTTTGTTTTAAAAATAAATAATTAATACAAAAATTATAGCTGTGTAGTTTTTTTGTGATAAAAATGTAAACTAAATACCTTAATAGCTTCACAACATTGCAAATGATACAAAAAGTTGTATGTATACCTTTGAAAAAAAAATGTTTTAATAAATAATTCTAGTAAATACTTCTTTAATTATATTAAAAAACTTTTCTTTTTTTTTTTGGATAAGTTTGAGTTTGTCTCCGATATAAGCACCGACAGTATGTGGTTCTGGATGTCATTTAAATGATCATCAAAAATGAACTTATCTTAAATCAAAATGGTCAATCCAATTACAAAAACAAGAGAGAACGCTATAGTCGAGTGCCTCGACTATTAGATACCCGTTACTCAGCTAAACAACTTAATATAAATATGCCTTCTTGTATGTTTTTCGCCGCTCGAATTAGCACCTTGGCCAGCTGTTCCAAAGTCATCCGTTAGATGGCGCTATTGTACTACGGGCCATGAAAGGCGGAAAGGTAGGCGCTAGCCAGGCTTAAGCGTTTAATGGGTTTTTGGGCGTTAGAGTGGGCGTGGCAAACTTTTATTAGGCCAATCGATAGGTATTGACGAAACAAATACATATAAATTTTCATAATAGCATCAAAACTGTGGCCACAGCTTGTGGCTTGTGGGCGTCAGAGGGGGCGTGGCACCATTTTGAAACCAACTTGCACTGCGTAGGAACACCTAAAATCTACATGCAAAATGCCAATCTTCTAGCTTTTATAGTTTCCGAGATTTCAGCGTTCATACGGACAGACAGACAGACAGACAGACGGACAGACGGACATGGCTAGATCGACTCCTAGATCCTGAACAAGAATATATATACTTTATAGGGTCGGAAACGCTTCCTTCTACCTGTTACATACTTTTGCACGAATACAATATACCCTTTTACTCTACGAGTAACGGGTATAATAACTCTCTCTTTTTATTAAACTAAAACGTTTTGTCTGATAAATTAAAGATCAACTAAACTTGGAAGTCCTTGCAAATGTGTACATATAATTTTTTTTAATGTTCGATTGAAATTTATACAAATTTAGTAACAATTTATAACAGTATATTTGATCAGTACACGCTGAAAAACATTGCGGAAAAGAAGTTTGTACAAAACTCCATCAAGATTTCCGCTTGATAGACAACACACAGTACTCTTACAGTGGCTGAAAATGTTCAATTGTGGCGCGTATTAATTAAACATTTTTATTTATGAATTTATCATCGGACGTTGATGTACGATGATGTAAAAACGACATCGCGAGAAGTAAAAACCAAGGACGATATAAGTAAAAAATCCATATGAGATAAAAAACTACTTAAAAATTTCATAGTAATAATGAACTAGATGCAATAATCAAAACAAACAAATGGCCATTACTGGCCGAGACCTATTTTCATTGGTACGAAAAACGAGATCGCGAGGTTGATAAACAAAAACTATTTAAAGATGACAATAACAGTCACTATAATAGGATCATGCATGCCATAGTTTGATTTAAAACGTTTCAAAATTAGGCACAGAGAAGTATGGTGACCCAGTAACTAATAAAGGAAGTACCAAGCTTCGTTCTACGGTTACTAGTGTAAAATGGTAATACTAGGTTTGCATCATAGTTAATGCACACAATATTAGGTGCTCCACACTGGTGACCAATATTCCCGGATTGGACCCACTACCGAAATGAAAGGATAACTTAACTTTGTCTGCATACATAAGATATAAGATATTTAATAAGTAAAATGTAGTGTTATGCATTTAAGGAGGGCTCGTAATGTTCTAACGCTCTGATAGCTTGAAAACTCTGGTGAATTCCATAGTTCATATAACATTATTGCATATTTTTAATGACTAATTGCCATTTTCGACCTCAATCGGACCCGAATAGCAAACAAAAGTCTAAAAGCCTTTGCAAAGTGAAAAAGAACAGAGGAGTTTTAATTTGGCCGTTCCAATACCAAATTTTTAAACTAGTTTATACAATCTGGCTTAAAATAACTAAAAGCCAATATCCATATACATCAGATGTGCGACGACACAGTTTTCCTTAAAAATTATGTTTGAACAAATTTATACGATATTAGGTAGTCTTACTTTTCTTCTAACAACATCTCAAAAAAAATCAATTATTGGTATATATATTTCTTTCATTTCGATTGATTTCAGTACATTGACATTAAAGAGTATATTCTCGTTTATGAAAATTGGTGGCTAAACACAAATCTACAAGACACCAACGAGCTGGAGCCCATCATGACCACAAGCGACGTAGACTAAATGCTGTTTTCGTGCCTGGTCTCGACCAAGCGCGGCAGGATTCAAATGTCAGAAAGACAGTGCAAAGAGCACACGACACCTATCCGCAATGAATGAGGTTCAATGCACAGGTCGTCTTATTGGAAGACATTGTAGAAAACAAAAACTGTGCCCTAATGAGAGAGTCAGGCTGGTCGACATACCGTGGCTAAGATGAATTAACATTGGGTGCCTATGGCATGTGAAAAAAGGATTACTGGCCAATTAGATTAGTTAAACTGCTGAACATCCCTTATACTCTTTAGTTGACACTGTGGAAAAGGTTAAAAACTAAGTTTTTTTTAAAACTGGGTTCTATCTTGAAAAAGTTTGTTTTCCGTTTTGCTCGAAAAAACTTATTTTAATAGCCAAGTCAAGAAAAAAATGTAATTGGCACAACTGCTCCCTAAAAATTGTTCATTAACAATATACCGATGTGAATATAAAGAGATGAAACACACCAAATGCATAAAATTCGGAACCTCCATTTAAACTATTGGATAAAATAAATCAGGAACTCTGACTAGACAAGAACCTACATACGTACGTACCTTTATAACAAACTTTTACCTGCAATAGTTCAAGGACCAAAGAATTTTATATGTATGTACTCGTACTCCATCCCGTTGTTCCAAATTGCCTACCCCACGCATTTAAAGCTAACTAATACATGTTTAAAAACAAAATAAAAAATATGTAAGCTAATTAAAATTTAAATAATCAAATTATTATTATAGTTATAAGAAAAATTAAATTAATTAGAAAAAATAATATAAAAAACGAACGATATTTTTTTCGGTGCTAATCTACACTAAATATATAAATCAACTTCAAATTGTTGATAGATTCCAACGAAAAGTACGCCTTTTAGGCAGATTTGCATTTGGAGAAGTGCAATTTGCACTGACAAATACATCAGCTACAAATAGTTTCAGCAGCCCAATGTGCCTAATATTGCACAGTCCGATGATATTTTGAGCCCTAACATATTTTAAAGCTTAAAGCCTAGATCGAAAAACTATTACGCTAGCGTAAAAACTGTAATCTTTCGAGTGTGACCAAAATTTCAAGAGTTCATCAGAATTAAGTCTGCTATGGTCGTATTGTCAATCAGCTGGGTTTGTTGACAAGCAGTTAAAATTCAAATATCGTATTTGCGGGAAAGAGCCTTTAAAAGATATTATCAAATACCTTGGCAAGACAAGTCTGCCGCTGTACAAAGAAATTAAAAAAAAAATACAATATAAATTTAACAGTTGTTTTTTTTTTTAATTTACTGATAATTCTTTGCTAATTTAAAGTTCATAACTGCACTTTTATTGTGTTTTTTCGTACATTCTTGACCTAAAAAACATTTTGCACTGACAAGAGGCACCCCAGATAGTAATAATGTTATTTTGTCCTCACATGTAAACTCCTGCAATCGACTTTTGCGAGTTTTTTGAGTTTTTCCCTCCATTTCCTATAATGTTCAGTAAGAAACGCACGCCAAAAGATTAAATTTTTTAATCTTTTCGATAGGGTTCACCTAAAGTTCATTTTCGCAGACTGGCAGCGCTATGCAATTTTCTGGTATTTTTTTTTGTCGATCTGTGGACCGAGGAAAAAAAAACGGTGACGAAAAGTGAACGCCAGCTGTTTGCCTCTCGCTCTCTCTCATGACTGGCGTACAGTTTTCGACGATCTGAGTACTAGGCTTAAACATCTAAGCGTTGATACTTAAAATAGATTGTCGATTATTGTTGAGGTAGTTTCATTCTCGTCAGCGTCTTTATTTGTAGGGTGCAACCAAACATTGTACCGCACATTTCATCCATCAAGGCTCCAAACCTTGATTATTGTGCAATGGCCGACAAAATGCTTTCCAAAACAACAAAAGCAAAGACATTGGGATTTATTTAATTAATTTCAGTATACATTTTATTGACATGCATTGCAACATGACTCGCAGCACACAGCGACGAACAGCAGCTCCACCTGATCTAGCGCAGTGCGTTTTAAATTAAAAATTAACCCTAAAATTTAGAAATTCACCATAATATTTTTTTTTTCTAAATCCAAAGGAATATTTCTTAAATCAAACTCAAATGAAGAAAATTTCATGAACTAACATTGCCCTAAATACAGAAAAAATTGGTATATTTATGTAAGTAAAAATATTACTTTTTCTCTAAAAAGGAAGTTTGTCCTAAAAAGTAACTTAAGCCTAGTATCCTGATCGACGAAAACCGTACGCCAGTCATGAGAGAGAGCGAGAGGCAAACAGCTGGCGTTCACTTTTCGTCGGGCCTTTTTTTCACGTCGGTCTCCTGATCGACGAAAAAAATACCAGAAAATTCCATAGCGTTGCCAGTCTGCGGAAATTAGCTTTGGGTGAACCCTAGCGGAAAAGATTAAAAAATGTAATCTTTTGGCGTGCGCTTCTCACTGAACATTATAAGAAATGGAGGGAAAACTCAAAAAA